GGGGCGGCTTTGCTTTAGCGGGGGGAGGAGCGTGGAGCCACTGCAGGGAGATGCTGGAGGCCGGTCGAGAAAAGGGGCTGGGAGGGACAGAGCTGCATTTCGCCCCAAAGCAGCCCCGGCAGAAGGGAGCTGCGAATCAAAACCCTTCCTGTGCCAGGGGAGCTATGCCAGGAATCCTGCCAGCAGCAGCGGTTGCAGCTCACTGGCAGGAGAGCCGGGAAGGGGTTTGATGGAAACAATCCTCGATGCCTCCAGGGGACCCCGCCGGGACCCGGCAGTGTAGGCAACGGGCCACGGCTCCATCCCCCTTTCCATCTCCGTGCGGTTTTTTCGCTCCCTCCCTTTCCGATAGCGTTTAATCTGCTTCGATACCTACGTCCGAAGCATCAGCTCCTCTCCCTGTGCTGCGGCCTGCCCCAGCGGGCATCGCGGCTATGGCAACGCCGCGGCCCTGGGGGCAGCAGCTCCCGCGCTCTGTCTTCCTGGGGAATTTTTTTTGCAATCAGGTGAAAACCTGGAGCTGCGCCAGCACAGGAGGCTTTAATCTGATTGCACAGACCTCGCAGCTGGCAAGCCTGTCCCTAATGGTGGGGGGAGTAACGTGGGGGATTAATTTGAGCACTTCTTTCCACCCTGAATGGTCTAATTTATCCAGGATTCAGTTCCCCAAGGAAGGACTTGCACAGTCCAAAATAACAAGCTCGGAATAATCTTCCTTAATGCCTAGCTGGGGTTGCCCCCCACCCACCACATCCCCAGCAAAACACTGAAGAAATTTAATTCTGCCCCGTTGTTGGTGTGGGGTGGAGGTTTTGTGCCAGGCTCTTGCTCTGTGTTTCCCTTGGCCGCCCCAGCAAGGTGGCAGGAGCGCAAGTGCCTGCTGCCTCGGGAGCGCCCTGGGTCAGTGGCCTTTCCCGCACGGATGCGTGTGTGCTGGGAGCCGAGTCCTCCGCTGCAGGGAGCTGAGCTTGTTTCTAGCTCCTCCGCAGTGCATCGGGGAGGACTCGGCCTTCGGGAGGATGGGGAAGCACTCGAGCAGTTCAGCCTGCAAAGCAAGCAGGCTGCCAGCTCAGGCAGCTGGAGAGCCCCCAAAGACCCAGCCAGCTCGGAGGTGGCACCTGCTAAAGGCAGGGGAGAGGAGGAGGTTTGTGTGCGGAGATAAGAGATCAGAGGGCAAAAGCCAGGTTACCTGCAGCAAGGACCCCCCCACCTCGGGCTGTGCACTGCCTCGTGTCAGGGCTGAATCCCCCTGGCGCCACTGGTGCTGCCAGCCCGGCAGGGTCTTGAGCATCGCTAGTACCTGTGACACATCCCTGTGTGCCGGAGTGGAGCGCGAGCCCTTGCCTCTCATCCAGTTGTGAGCTCCTCAGAGATCAGAAACGTTAAGGACAATTTGGAGCAGGAGTCTGAAAGGCAGAGAACGAACCTGAGCAATGTCCTGGCAGTGCAGAAAGATGCAAAGCAGAGCGTGAGACACTAAAATTAGGCATCTTGGCCGGGGCTCTTTTAACTCCCAGCTGTAGAAAAGGGTGCAGAGAGCCAGTATGTGAATAGGGCCTGGCTCCTCCAAGCCATGACAACTTGAAGGATTAATTGGGGATTAATACAAGTTGGAGGCAGCCTTCCCTCCCTGTCCTCTGCCTCTCCCCAAGGCCGCGGCAACGCAGGATGCCAGGGCGAGCGTCGAGGCGTCTCTGCCCCGCCGCAGGGGCAGGCAGGGCTGCGCTAACCTCCGCGTCCTCTGCCCGCAGTACTCCCCGAGCATGCGAGCCACCTACCTCTCCGTCACCGATGAGCACGTGCGGCACTACAACACCGAGTTCCCAGCCTAAGCGCGCTTGCCTCGAGCAGCTCGCGGGAGGAGGAAACGCCACCGGCGTTCCTGTAACGGAAACCAAAGACAACTGGAAAACGGGCGGCAGCGGGTGTCTCAGCGGGAAGAGCGCGGGCCGGAGGTCAAGCCGCGGGGAGCCCCGCGAGCGCCCGCCTGCTCTCCACGTCCTCCTCTCTCTCTCTCCGC